TAGGCAGAGAGGGAGAAGAGGACAACAAACGAGGGGCTGTGACAAACTGTTTCGTCGGAGTTTCACCGACTCATCAGGAGGCTGAACCCTCAACAGTCTGAAGAATCCCCTCACTGATTACACTGTAAGTGATAATCCACCTTATATATACCCCTCGTTTGTTGTCCTCTTCTCTCTCTCTGCCTACGGTTTACCGGGCAGTTCTATATATAAATATATATCGTCAAATAGAACTGCCCGGTAAACCGTAGGCAGAGAGGGAGAAGAGGACAAATATATATATATCGTTATATATATATATACAGGGTCACCAGCCCGTACGTATGGAGGTTCCCGGGCCGACCTCAGTACGTACGGGCATTCTGGGTCCCGTACGGGGTCCGAACCCAACAGCGTTCGGCCCCCGCCAAAAATTATTTCGGGGCCTAAAACTAATTTTTGTTTTTTCATTTTTTTTTTGTGAGTTCTATATGACGTGAGGTACATGCCTATAAATTTTGACATCATTTGGCTCAGCCAAATAAGAATTAAAAATCGCCAAAGATGGCGGTGTCAAAACATGCTCGCCCACGTTTTTTTTCACTTTATTACTTTTTGTTCTCACTTTAGTTCAGGGTCTAAACAATTTTATTATTTTTTGAAACTTTTTAGTGGGTTTTGTAGTATGTGAAGTACACACCTGTAAATTTTCAGGGCATTTAGCTATGCCAAAAAAAAATGAAAAATTGCCAAAGATGGCGGTGTTGAAAACGTGCTTGCGCACTCAGGAAATTTAATCCTCTTTTTATTTTTGCTATTTTCATATTTTTATTATTAGTATTTGTTCTCCGTATTTTATTTCTATTTCAAATTTGGTAAGGAATTTGGATGTAATGCTCAGGCAAATCTTGTTTAAGTTATTTTCCTTAATAACATATCTTTTTTTCAGATTTTTTTGAATTGTGTTTTTTCAATGTCCCATACGTTCGGGCGTTCGGGTTCGGGCGTTCGGCCCGTCCCGAACGTCGGTTACCCTGTATATATCGTCAAATAGAATATATATATATAATATGAATAATATATATACCGTCAAACGGAGCTTCCCGGTAAACCGTAGGCAGAGAGGGGGAAGAGGACAACAAACGAGGGGCTGTGCTGTGACAAACTGTTTCGTCGGAGTTTCACCGACTCATCAGGAGGCTGAACCCTCAACAGTCTGCAGAATCCCCTAGCTGATTACACTGTAAGTGATAATCCACCTTAACATATATAGATATAAGCCTTGGAGACCAAATAGCACCCCCACGCATACGGTGGGAGTACGCGTACTTGATCCGGAGTATGCGAATGGGAAAAAAAAAAAAAACTGAAATGAATCTCTGGAATTATGTTATGCAAAATAATAATGCAAACAACGTTTTCCAGGGAGGCATCTCCAGACTCCCCGTCAACTCCCCCGGCCCGGTACCCCACGGGGGAATGGTCGCAAGGCTGAGTAGATTTTGTATGGGGGGTCCTGCTGGCCGGGCGTCCTCCTGGCTGTGCTTACAACATAACAGTTTGGGGGGAGGAGGGTCGCTGAGGGACAGGGTACCATTGGAAGTCACCCGCCTTGGAATGCCCCGCTCTGCCCTGTACTTGTCGTGAGAGTGTGATTATGGCACTGGCCGGCAGGTTAGGGCCGCTGCCTATGCCTCAGCGTGCGCAACCTTTAAAAGATTCTGAAAAAGAAAAAAAAAAACAGACTGTTTTTCTGGGCGCCCGGTCACCCAACTTATGCCCGGATACACGCCCGGGTGCCCGGCCGGGCATGACCCCCGGGCAGGGTTCCAGTCAGCCCCAGCGCAAAAAAAAAAAAAAAAAAAGAAGAACAAAAATTCCAAAATTTCCGGAAAAACAATATGTTGTGTAGAACTGCAATACAAACGACTTTTGGCTGAGGGTCACATCAGAATTTCTCACAGAATCGGAGATAAAAAAGAAAATAACAGAATCACACTCATGCACCCCCGTTTCACCCCCTTTAGCCCCTTTCAAACCAATTTATACCCCCCTTCTCCCCCTTCCTTGACAGCCAACTCTCAAAAAAAAGAAATGAGCCTGGATTTGGGGTCCTCTCGGAGAGCGCAGAAAACCAAAAACAGTTTGTTTTTTTTTTTTTGTTTTTCTTTTTTTGCATGCCCGGGTACCCCAGCTGTCAGACCCCCCCCGGGTGCCTGGCCGGGGTGACAAGAAAAAAAAATGGAAAAAAAAAAGTACCCCCACATACGCCAGTACTTAGAAAAGAAAAGAACAGGCCCGAATCAAGGAAAAGGCCTAAAGTCGAAAACGTGCCCAGATAAAAAATGGGCCCACGAATTTACAATTAAAAAAAGATACTAGTAAACCTACTGAGTTCTTAAACCACCAGTACCTCGCTCAGCTATCGGCCGCGGGCACTCCCGTATACGCGCCGCAGCCCTAGGGGGGTCGGCCAAGGGAAGGCCCGGTCGCTGCGCGAAGGCCGGGCTCCGCTTCCCTAGGAACGACACACTTGAGAAAACAAAAAAAAA